CAGGCGCCGCGTCGTCACCATGGAAACGGGGGTGCCGGCCGTACCATTGTGGCGGCGGAAAGAGGGGCGTGTCTTCCCCACCCGGAGGAAGTGGGGGAGCCCAGGCCGCCGTGTCCCCTCAGCGCCCCGGCTGAGGTGGCCGCGGTCCCGCGGCAGCGAGCCCGTGTCCTCTCCACAGCCCGGGGAGTGCTCCCGTATCGCTCAGAATACTCCGGGTTGAGCCCCTTCCCCCCCCAAAGAAAGACCACCCCAGGATGAACCCCGTACTAAGCCACATAACCTAGAGATGTCCCGGCATGAACCCCATGCAACCTCCGAGACACCCCAGAATGAGCCCTGTACCACTCCAGACAGCGCAGGATGAGCCACAGACCTTGAAGATGTCCCAGGATAAGTCCCAGACCCTGACGATGTCACAGGACGAACCCCATACACTAACCCAGACATCCCAGGATGAGCCCTAAACCACTTAAGTTGTCCTAGGCTGAGTCATATACCCACCAGGATTTTGCAAGATGAGCCTCAGACCTTAAAAATGCCCAGAATGCACACAGTAAGACATCCCAGCAAGACATCCCAGGATGAGACCCATACCCACTTCAAAGCATCTCAAGGTAAGTTCTATACCACCAAAAATACCCCAGGATAAGCCTCATACCCTGGAGGTAGACCAGGATGAGCCCTATAACCCCCCAGAACATCCCAGGATAAGCCCTAATACCCTGAAGATGCCCCAGGATGAACCCCATACACCTACCAAAACCTCACAGGATGAGCTCCAGAACCTCAGGACATCCCAGGCTGAGTGCCATACAACCTCCAAGACACCCCAGGATTAACCCCATACTCCCACAAGGCATCCTTGGATAAGTCACATACACACCCCCCAAGAGATCCCAGGATAAACTCTATACCCTCCACGATAGCCCAGGATAAGACACACACCCTGAAGATGTTTCAGGATTAACCCCATACAACACCCAAGACAGCCCTGGCTTAGCTCCATACACCCCAAAACATTCCAGGATGAGCCCCATACCCCCTTTCCCACCCAAGACAGTGACAGCCCAGTCCTGGGTCACCACCATCCTCTAGGGCCAACGATCCCCTCAGGAGAGCACCAGGAGAAGCTGGGCGGGGCAGATAAGACACCCTGGACTTCCATCAGCTCTGGATTAAGGGAGAACATCCAGATGCAGGTGAGTGATCTAGGGGTCATGCAAAGACTAGATTAATTCCTGGGTGCTGCCCCATGGAGAGGGTGGGAAGCACTGGGTGCTGTGAGACACTTGGCTGTGGGACAGGAACAAGGAGATGGTTTTCCTTCTTTTCCCTCAGCTGTCTCCTGTTATGAAGCAGCAAAACCCAACAGAGATCTTCAACCTTCCACACTAGAACTTTGTCTAGTATATGTTTGCAGCCAGGTCACACTTCCATCCTTCATCCACCCTGGCTCCCAGGCAAGGAGCAAACAGAAAACAGAACACGGCTTATCCTTATCTGAAGGACTTGGCAGTGTCCTCCCCAGTTCCTGTTATCAATGAGCAGCTGCTAATTCCCTCCTGCCTGAAATTCTCTCTAGGCTTTGTAACAACAAGGTCTGTTCTTTCAGTGGCAGGTGAGACACCACACTGGAATCCCCCCAGATTGTCTCAGTGAGTTTGTAACAAGGGGCTTACTCCATGGAGAACCTGCCAGTGGCACTCTTTCAAAGAGGATGGTGTCCTGGAGTGACAGATGGCTAGGAATGAACATGGCTGTCCCAGAAAACTCCCTAAGGATAAAGCACGAGGAGCATACATATCCTTTAAGATGAGCAGGAGAGGCAGCAGGAGATACACCTGCCAGAAGGACTGGGAGGTCCTGCCAGCTGGACTTTGCACTCTGAAGCAGAAGAAACTGAGCTACCTTGATGAGCAGTGTAGATAAATCCCACCCAAGCCCTCACAGCCTTATTCCCTGTAAATTCTTCTTTTGGCCCCTGAAGGATGCCCTTTTAAAGGAATAGTTTCATCCACTCGGGGCTGGCGCTTGAGCAGTCTGAGGATGAGACAAGTCTCTGCTGCAATCCTCTTTTAAATACCCACCAGGCTTTGGGTGTCAGGTTTAGACCTCTGGGTGGGCCACTGATCCCCTCTCCAAGCACTCTTTTCTCCTCCTCAATCCTCTGAGCATCCCTCCCTTCTCCTTGCCCTTTGCCAGATCCCTGTCCCAGGCCAGGGGTCTCCCTGCCCAGCAATGCCCACTGTGCATCCAACATAAGCCACCCCCAGGAGCCAGAGGAGCTCATAATCACCTTTTTATTCTCTATCAAGCACTCTACAGAATGTGCCGTAGACAAAATCACCCCCCAGGTGCTCCCAGCACCTCTGTGCCCTGCCTCAGCCCCTGCCGTGACCCAGCACCCACTGCCGAGGGGGAGGCCAAAATAAGTCACACCCACCCACAGCCTCCCCCCAGGCACCGAGACAGGGTGGCACCAGTCCCTCAGTGCCAGCCCTGCCCGTGTCACCCAGAGTGCCCTGCACCAGGGTAAGTGTTCACTTCCAAAGCCATCGGGTCCTGCCCATTCCCATCCCCAGCACCCAGGGCTCAGCAGAATACGTCAGTCTCTGTGGGCAACGGAGAACACCTGCAGGGAAAGGACAGGGATGGAGTATATCAGGTTGCTGATCTGTCCCAAAGAAGTGGGAGCAAAGGCACCAGGATCAGCTCAGCCCAGTAGATATCTGGAGATAATTCCAAGGGGGGATGGAAGCAGTGAGCCCCCAGTGCTGTCTGCTCTTCTCTGTCTGGGGGATCCCCAGGAGAGGCAGGGAGCCATTCCAGGCAGTACTCACTCAGCCATCTTGGCTGCCAGGTGATACAGAGTCTGCTTGTCCACGTAGCGGCAGAAGAGCGAGACGAGGTTGCTGGGCAGGAAGAGGGGCTCTGCCAGCAAGCCTGTAGGCAGGCGCGACAGCTCTCGGGACATCAGGTACACCGTGTCCGTCCTGGGGGCACCAGCACGGGGGTGAGCGCCCCACAGAGCGGAGGCACCCCCCCCAGCTCACACAGTCCCTCACCATGCCTCGAAATCCCCTCTGCACGGCGTCAGTGGCGCATGTGAGGACAGCAGCCTCTCTCCGTGGCTCAGCAGGGAATAGAGCAAGGAGATGCCAAACTGCAGGAAAGCACCAGGAATGTCACAGCCAGCAGCAGTGCCACCCCAGGGACACAGTGAGACTCAGGGCCACGTACCTTGTTCTTCAAGGCCATGGTGAGGGGGAGCTCTGAAGACTTGGATAGAGGCCGGGTGAGCTCCTGCAGTATCTCAATCAGTTTGCTGAAGGTCATCTCACCCACCACCTCATTCAATGGGCTGTAGAGCAGGGGGAGAGACTGGGCAGGGCAGAGGGGAGAGCAGAAATCTGAGATCCTTTCACCTGTCACAGCCACACCCCCATCCCAGCACTTGGAGGGGAGAGCCACTGCCACCAGGACTGCTGGTGGCTGACTCCTGGAGACCTTCTCCTCCCTAAGGATGTGAAGATACTCCTGTCTTGTGCTAACCCCACAAGACAAGCCCCCCTCATTGCCCAGGGGGCCACCCCCAGCAAGAACAGAGGAGGAAGGAGACAGCCCAGGCCCTGTGGCAGCTAGAGGTGCTTGCCTCATCCAACATGTCCTTCTTCATGAGGAAGGCCAGGTGGTGGGTGATGGTCAGCAGGATCTTCTCCTTCTGCTCTCCAATCAAGTGGGGCAGCAGCCGGGCCACAAGCTTCTTGCCCTTCCGCACACACAGCAGCTGCAGGAATTCATCTTCTGCCTCCCTGGGAACACAGGTTGCATTGGCACAAATCTCAAGGCACCTGGAGCATCTCTATCCATTAAAAAGGACCAGCATCAGCTCCACTGGAGGACAAGGCTCACGGGCAGGGTCAGCACAGGCTGCAGTGACACATGGAAGGATCCAATCCTCCTGTGACACAGACCTGCTCATCAATGACCATCTCAGATCCACAAGGACCTGGACATGCTGCCTGCTCCCCTCTCCCCATGGCACAGACTCACTCTTCACTGCTGCAAGCCCTGATTTTCAAAGCTTGGTAGATATTCTCCACTTTTTGGCTCTTCTGCTCCTGCTTGTGGGGCTGTTGCTCCCCGAGGGCCAGAGACACTTTCTGTTGCACCTCCTCCACTTCCAGGAGCTGCAGGAAGAGCTGGAGAAAGGACACAGGGTAAGGAGGAAGCTCGGAGCATCTCCTACCAACTGGCTATTATCCAGAACCCTGCCTAGGTAGACATCCACTTAGAGAAATCCCTGGAAGAAAACAGAACACCTGGACCATCCTGCCCTTCCCCAAATCACCACTCACTCACCTTCTCGATCCTGTGCAGCGCCCGCAGCAGGTGGGTCTCTGCGGCCTTAGGGAGGGTAGAAAGGAAGGCACAAAGGTTACAGCCATCCCCAGACACTGCCACCAGCCCAGCACTGGGCCAGCTGCTGCCTGGGGATCAGAGGTAACTTCAGGACACAGAGCAGTCCCATGGGGAAACCATGGCCAGAGCCCAATCCCACCCCTTGGCCAGGCACAAGCTGCCACTGCTGAGGTGGCATCTCCTCCAACTGTGTGCCCCATCCCACTGCTCAGGACAGCTCCTAAAGCAGCAGTCCCAGCAATTCAGGACCCCAACTTCCCTTCACCTACCTCCTCCTCCACGAGGGCATGGTGCACAGCATCGATGGCCCGGCGAGGGCTGTAGCAGGTGGACACCGTGACCTGGCCCAGCGAGCCAGCAATGCGCACCACTGCAGAAGAGCAGGAATACGGTGACACCACATCCCAGAGCTCCTCGTTCAGCCCCCCAACACTCACCCCAGCCTCTCACCAGAGTCATAGGTCTCCACTTTTTGGATGAACGGCGTGATCAGCTTGGGGGGCTTGTTGCGCCTGCCCAGCAGCTCCTCCTCTGCCTGTTTGCGCTCCAGCCGGTGGTAGTAGGTCTGTAACAACAGGATAAGCCAGGAGTCTCCTCCACCACTCCTGGAGGGTTTCTCCAGCTCCCAAAGCCCCACCCTCAGGGGAACAAGCCACAGGTGCTGCCAGCAGGAGCTCACCTGATAGTAGTAGTCATCATCCATATTCTCACTCTGCAGCTGCATCATCTGCACCTTGACAACCCAGTCCTTCTCCTTGGAAGTCATCAGTCCAGCATAAGGGTCCACTTTACAAGACCACAGCTTCTTGGGGGAGACGCTGGCACAAGAGAAGACCTCAGTCCACTGTGATCACCCAGAGCCCTCCCCTGCACCTCAAAGACCTCCATACCTCTGCATCTGCCTGCCCTGCTGCTGCATCAGGATGCGCTGGTGCTGGGGGTGCAGCTGAGTCATGTGGCTGGGTGTGCTGCAGAGAACACCAGACAGGAGTCAAGGAGGGGTTTTGGGATGTCCCCAGAGTGAGGTGATGCCCAGCTGCTTTGTAGGTCCCCTCCAGTCCCACCCCAACATCCCACTCCTACTACCTGAAGTTTAGCTGGCCCATGGCTGAGGGGCTGAAGATGAGAGCAGGGTCCAAAGAAGAGGACATGGGCCTGAAGTGCACGCCCAGGGGCCGCGGTGGGCTGCCCACAGTGGGAGACCCAGGCTGGAAAGGGGTTGGAGGTGCATATCCCGCCATCTGAGAGGGAGAGACGAGATCAAGGGTCTGAGCCTTCCCCTCTGAGCATCCCAGAGGGGTCAGCCAGCTCTGTGCTGGCTTCTGGCTCCTATTCCTCCTATCCCCAGATACTGCCACTCTCCCTATCCCCTTACCACTCCAGGGGTGCCTCAGCGGGACCATGGCAGTGGCTCAAAGCCCACCACATTCATTACCTGGTTGGGAGCAAAGAGTGGAGGGGGTCTGCAAGCCGGTGGGAAGGGTTGAGGAGACATCAGGGGTGCCTGGTGCAGAGCAGGAGACAGAAGGTATCACTCAGACAAGCCTGTCCTCGAGGCTGCACCTCCAAGAAGGGGAGGCAGAGAGAGAAAGAAGGGATTCAAGAGCACCTCCAAACCTGTTACCTGCTGGAGAAAGCACTGGGGGAAGGGCTTGGGGGACATCAGTCTTAAGTCAGGGCACTTGAGCCAGGGAGAGCCCCCATAGCCCCTCTGCACAGGAGAGCCAACAAAGTCCACGTCCATGCTGGTAGATGGTGGAGGTCTCTCCAAGACCTGGAGGATGGCTTTATCCTGCAGGGAGGAGGCAGCAGCAGGTGGGAACAGGGCACAGCTGGGAACAATTTAGTTCCTTCAGCAACAGTCAGCTCACTAAAACCTTTGGTCGTTGCTCAGCCAAGACCATGCTCCAGCTGGGCTCCCATCCTGGTAGTGTGGAACAGCTGGGGACCCATGGGAACACCAAGCATGGAGGGCCCAGTCCCCCCAAATTCAATAACTTTGCCTTCAAACCCAGGCTCTGCTTTGGGTGGGTACTCAGCCTTGGCATCCAAGACACATCTGTGCACCTCCAGAGCCATTTGGAGATGCGTCAGGTATCCTAAATTCCCTGTGCGGCCATTGTCCTAGAGTAGTGGGGAGCCCATTAGCCACCCCCTGAAGGCCTGGCTGGAGGTACCCACCTCCAGCATGAGGTGGCGCAGAACACTGCCAGGGAAGGAGCCCCACTCCGAGGGATCCATTGACAGCTGGAAAACAGGGAGATGTTGGCATGAGGCAAGCGAACAGGAGGAGAGAGCAGGGGACACCAGAGGAGCTACCCTGCCTCATCACCAGATGGGTGGGGACATTTTTACCATGTCCTTCTTGCCAAACTCTCCCCAGCAAGTACCAATCCTGCTGTCCAGCACTGCCGAGTCCTGGCTCTGCAAGGAAAGGGGAGTTAAAGGTCTGTCTCCCTGCCCCAACACCCTCTGTGGGGCAGGACCCAACAGCATGGGGATGGAGGTGGGACCCCCTGTCTGCTCACACATCACCTCCAGCGTGGGTTTGCTCCGCACAGCTCTCATCACTGCTGGGTCTCCCAGTTCACTGGGCTCCTCAAAGCACTCCTGGTCTTCCTCCTGTTCCTCAGTCCCCAGCTCCTCTACCTCTTCCTCCAACTGAGAGTTAACCTGCTCCACCTCTATCCCATCTTCCTCCTCGGCCAGCTCCTCCAGCTGCTCAGCTGCTCCTCCAGTCGCCTCTACCAGTGCTTTGGCCACCTCAGGGCTTATGTCTGGTACTACCAGGAGTTTTTGGACATCCTCCTCTGTGGAGTCTCGGTCTTGGAGGGGGGGAAGCAGCACACAGCAGCGTGGGTGAATGCCTGGGCAGTGCCCACCAGGGCGTCTGCTCCCCCAGAGTGCTGGCAGAGTGCTCTCCAACACCGGGACTCCCCTAAGGTCTTACCTAACCCAAAAGTCATCTCGTTGTACAGGTCGAGCTCCTCATCCTCCTCAGCCATCTCTTCCAGCAGAAGAGCATCTTCCAGCAGCAGAAAATCCTCGAGAATCTGAATTTGGAAGCAGCAGATTGCTCGCTAAAGGAGAGGTAACCCTAACCAATGCTCCAAAAGTGGAGGGACACCCAACCTCCCCCTCACTCTATTGGTGGTGCCAGGCAACCCACAGGGCTCACAGCTGAAAAAGGGAAAAGCAGGAGCCAGCGGCACTGCCAGCGAGGACGGGACCCGCAGGCTCAGCCCACGAAAGCTGCTGGCAGCAGCGAATGCCGGCACGGAGCGGCACCAGCGCGGCGGGGCTGAGACACTACCGGGCTTCAGAGCGAAAACCCGCTACGAGGGCACGAGCTGGTGGGAGAGCATCCCACCAGCACCTCCAGGGCAGCGTCTGCTCCGAGACAGAGCGTTCCAGCGAGCGCCAGCCCCGGAGAACGAGCACCGCAGAGGGAGCGGGGCGCCGGGAGGCGGCAGCGGGGAGGCGGCAGCGGGGAAGCGGAGCAGGGCGGGCAGGCACTCACGATGCGCTCGCCGCCCTCCGCCATCCCGCGGTGCCGCCACCACCTCCTCCTCCCACTCACCCACCCTCCGTCCCGGGTCCCTCTACGGGGCCACACTGTCCCCGCCGCCCCTTTTATGGGCCGCCCCCGCCGGCCCGGCATGCGCCTGCCGTACAGCATGGCGGCGCCCAGCGGCGTCCCGCGCATGCGCACTGGCCGCGCCGTGCCCCCGCACGAGGGGTCCCCGCAGCCCAGGGAAGATGAGGAGGTGCAGTGACCCCACCTGCGGATCGCGGGGCACGGAACAGCCCGGTCTTCCACACTGCTCGCCTCGCTCCTCGACTGCCGCCGTGTTCTCGGGGCTGATGTCCTTCTGGGGAGTTATGGAAAACTGCTGGGATGTGATCTGTCGGGGTTGAATATTCTGGAAGGTTACATCGAGCACGGGTTCCAGTACTAATGCTATAAATTTCTGCATCCCACAAAACCTAGCGAGTTGCCCTTATCCCCCTGAATACCAGGAGCACCTTGGTCATGTCATCCATTCCCAATTAATTCTCCCAATATTCTGCTAATGAAAGCAGAAGTGTCCCAGAAGTGGAAGAATTACTACTCTAACTACTCTACTACTACTCTAACCAAGTCATTGTGGCTTTTTGTAAACATAGTGTGGAAGAGTTGTTGTTCTCTTTACTGGGAAATTCTGACAGGTGTTGGGGATTACAGTAGAGTCATTGCCAGGGAGTCACATCCCAAAGGGCCTGGAAAGGATTCATGTCCTGCCATCCTTTCCCCGAGCCAAGGGGAGTGTCCACTTGGGCAGAGCCAGATTCACCTGGGGGACAGCTGGACCAAGCTGGTGACTCCTGCTGTGGTGACCCTAATAACAGTTCTGCCACCCATGGAGCAGTCAGGGATTATTTCTGCCGGAGCCCTGAGATCCCTGATAAGGCTCTGGCCACAGCTGCATCTGTTTATCCTACACTGAGGAAAACATTGCATGTTTTCAGCACTGCTCGCTGGGTAGTCAGCAAACCCAGCAGGAGCTGGGCCAGTGGGAACTGATAACAAGTGTTTCCAAGATTTTCCTTTGCTTGGCCTCTCCTGATTTACCTGCTCCCTTTGGGATATTCTCCATACATGCTTTTTAAATTTATTTTGTGTTTTAATGAAGTGCATTAAGAAAGCAGATCCTAAAGGGATTTAGTGTTTTGGTACTTGCACTATGCTGTTGTGTTCTCCCCACTAGCAGAGACTTTCTTATCTTTTCCCTTTATTTTCCTTCTAAGCAGCATTTCTGGGACACTCAGTGGCATTCCTAGCCTCACAGTTCTGCTGGAGGAGGCATCAGAAAACCTGTTTTTTGGTGTTAGAATTCTCATGTTTTATGTCAGGGCGTCTGTGCTGTGCTCAAACAACAGTCAGTTTCACACCCTGCAGCTGCTGGAATGAGACATTCCACACAGGTTTTGAAAGAGGTTTTGAAAATAAGGTGGAGTGCTTGCTCCACCATAGGCTGTGTTATACCAGCCCTGGATGCAAAGTCTTCTGCCAGAGGTGGGTTTTATCCCCATTTAGGTTGGAAAAGTTCGCTGTGACCATCAAGTCAAATCATTCCTCCAGCACTGCCAAAGCCACCACTAACCCATGTCCCCAAGTACCACATCCACAGGGCTTTTAAATCTCTTCAGGGATGAGGACACCACCACTGCCCTGGCAGCCGGTGGCAAGGTTGGACAGGACTTTCAGAGAACTTTTCTCTAAGATCCAATATAAACCTTTCCTGGTGCTACTTGAAGCTGTTTCCTCTTGTCCTCCCCTTTTCTCCTTGGGCACAGAGCACAACCCCACTAGCTTCCCCCTCCTGTCAGGAAGTTGTAGAGAAAGAAGGTCCCCCGAGCCTCATTTTCTCCAGGCTGAGACCCCCGACCTCCCTCAGCTCTTCCTGGTACTCCAGCCCCTTCCCCAGCTCCGTCCCCATCTCTGAACACGCTCCAGCCCCTCAATGTCCTTGAAAGGCGCAGAACTGATCCCAGGATTTGAGGTGTGGCCTCATCAGTGCCCAGCACAGGGGACGGGCACTGCCCTGGGCCTGTGCCCACACCCGGGCTGCCATTGCCCACCTGGGCTCACGCCCAGCCGCTGCTGCCCGACGCCCCGCGGTCTCCGCCCGGGTCCTT